GGTTCCTATATAGGTACTTTAGGGCCTAAGTATATACTATATGGGTACATGGAGCCTCAGGGGGATGTTTCTGCCCTTCTTCGAGCCAACGGGGTTGAGGCTATTGGGGCCTTGTGGCCTTTAGAGTCTACAGGTATAGTATGTTCTAGTAGAATTATAGTATGTTGTCTCATATTATATTATCATAGTATAATATAGCACACATTATTGTATGTTATAGTACACTATGGGATTAACTACAATATGCATGATAGTATGCATTATAATAGCACTATATTCTAGTATTGCATAGAATATTGTATAATCAGTAGATTCTAGTAGCGAGCCCCAACAACAGCAAACTTTGTTTTGCTTGCTGGCATGAATCCCTGCGAGGAGTGCCATCACTAGGCAAGCGGGAATGCAATCATCGGCAGCCACGTGCCTGACGTGTACTGTAAACCCTAAACCCTAAACCCTACAACCCTAAACCCTAAACCTTAAACCCGTAATTATGAACGCTAGGGCCAGGGCAAACATGCCCCAGGATTCGAGGATTCACGGCTCAGGGTGTGAGGATCATGGGTCCGTCGTTGCAGCACTCAGGCACTGTCGCCGATGAGATATCATTCCCCAGGTGAAAGAAGCCATGAAACCCTAAAGGCCCAGTTGACAAAAAGAGTGGCCTCTTAAGGGCACCATAGGGGGACCGCAGCAAAGCTAGACAAGATATCGACCCCAACTGGGCTTCCGGGGCACCTGAAAGCTACTCTACGTTGCATTGGGGGTCCCTGTTCCTGTTCTAGTTCTGTCTTTTCCGCGCATACAAATCTCATCAATCGCAGAGGGACCCGAAATACAAAGAGCCAGAACGGCTCATGGGCAACCATGAGATGAAGGATGTGCAATCTTTAATCCCTTTCAAGGGACACATCCCGGCAAAGGGCCTGTCAAGCTTCACAAGTGTGAAGGAATGGAAAATCCTGCATGGTGCTGTTTGGAGTGGTCATGCAACCACACATCACTGGACTGCAACAGCTAAGATGTAATCGCAACATCACCGAACAGCAATGCGACACATCATGGTGCAGAACGTACAATATGCGGCTTTGCTGACAGTTTACCGCTCCGACAATAATGCAGAAACGCGAAAATGCCAGCAAGGAATCTCTTGAGAACACCTTCTCTATCAGCTGGACCCTAAACCCTAAACCTATGATTGAAAGCCTTGCTGGAGCCACGGCTAAACGGCTCACCTTGTCGCCGCTGGTGCTGACCGCGCCAGATCCGGTCGGATCTGAACACTGTGCCAACATCACTTCGAAACAGTGGACACACTTGGGGGTTTCCGAAAATAGGGGACCCTAATATAGTACCCTAGATAGTAGGATCCTTACTATAAGGACCCCACATTCAGGTACCCCCCCTTGTTATTTTCGGAAAGTCCCACTTAGAGCTCGAAGTACAGGGGCTCTTGGATGCTGAACTCTTTCATAGGTTCGGCTGGGTGGATTTTGAGGGCGCGTGTGCTCTGCCTCGTGGGAATGCACTGTTGCCACAAAGATCCGGCCAAAGCACAGAGGGCGACAGGATTCCGCATCTCCACGAATGCATACCCCTTGCTCTTCGACTGGGTCTTTGGCATCTGAAGCGAATAGCGGTCCGACGTAAGGCTGTCGAGAAAATCCCGCAATTCCTGTTCTGTGCAGCGTGCGGGGACGTTTCGGATCATCATCTTGCAGGTAGCAAAGCCACTGCAAGCTGCTCGGGTGCAAGCCGAACGCCTCCGTCCCTCAGCACATAGCGGGGCAAGTGAGGACCATGCCAAGTACGGAACGCAAGTGACACCAAACCTTTCTAGACTTTGCTGTGCTCAGGATCTGTCAAGTATGACAATGAACCCCTCACACCTACTAGACAAAACAGGAACAAAAAACCACAAGAAGACACTGCAGTGAGAGATTGGGGTGGAGCATTCCTGCAGTTAAGTCAAGTTGCACAGGCTCGACGGTGGTGACATCGAGCCAGGCACCTTCAAAGGGAGGTCTTGCTTTCGCGCTGCAGAGCAGAGACGTGTTGAAAGGGTTTTGCTCCTTGCAGACCTTTTCAATTCTACGTCGATGGGGGGGAGCCCTCACGTGCTTAGGGTTTGGGGAGTTTGGGGGTTGAGGGTTGAAAGGGGTCTGGGGTTCCCAGAATCTGGGTGAGCCCGACACTTCATGCGACATGGGTGCGCGCGAGCTGCACACTTTGACAGCTACGTCCCTGCATAAAACTTTGGATCTAGAGGTAGGTGTAGAGGTGTGTGTGTGTGTGTCTGTGACAAGCGCGCATGATTTTGAGAAAACCATCAGCATCATCTCCATCAGCAGCATCAACATCTGCACCACAATCTAACAGATGCATCATCTTCGCCAACAGCATCATGACCATTGCTACTGCTGTAGATATTCCTGTTGATGTTGCTGTTGCTCTGCTCCTGCTGCTGCTGCTGCCGCCGCCGCTGCTGCTGCTGCTGCTGGTGCAGTGGCTGTTGCAGTTGCTGAGGCTGTTGCTGCTGCTGCTGTTGTTGTTGTTGCTGTTGCTGTTGCTGTTGCTGTTGTTGTTGTTGTTGTTGTGGTTGTTGTTGTTGTTGTCTTCTTTGTTGTTGTTGTTGTTGGTGGT